ACTTAAAAAAACATAAATTTCTTCAACTTTTCTGGTCACGTTAATAGTATTGAAACTATACATTTATAGACAAATCAATAACTAGAAAGTAGGAAAGATTAACTCCTACTAGCTCCATGACTCTATTAACTAACACACTAACCCACTACTTGATAACTACTAAGCCACCAAGTTACTGACCAATTACTGATTAAACACTACAGGAAAAATGGCCTTTAGCGACATATAAAATGTGCAGCCAAAAGTAGCAACAGTGTCGCAAAAAGGTAATTGCGACACAACATGAGGCTTAATACAAAGTGTCGCGATAAGTGCAGTCGCAAATTTTGCGACACTTTTTCCTGAAAGTGTCGAAGTAATTGCGGCACTTTTGCGACATTAATAATATGACTCGTGCAATTCGCGACATATATCATGTCATTTGTTTTATTTGTCGCGTTCGAATTTGCGGCACTAGTTCGTGTCAATTTGTTAAAGCCACAAGTAATGGTGACACTTTTTTTGCTTCACATGTTAAATGTTGCATGGTTATTTGCGTCATTTATAAGTGCCACATAATTATTATTCACATGCGTCAATTTTTTTTATTCAATTACTACTATTTAATAGTTTAAAGAATAGATTATATATGTATTTATCTGATATATAACAATCAATGAATTTTTTTTAAAAAAAGAAAATGTTATAAAACTTAAAAACTATTATAATTTATTCTTAAAAATGGAAAGGAGTATTAAACAAACTATCATTCATGTACAATTACAAATGACCATTCTGATAAATTCATACAAAGAAACTGAAACTCTAATTTTCTAATGTCATGTATCTTATTCGAAACAAAGAAGAAAAAAAATTTCATGTATCCCATTGGTGGAATCTGGAGTTTCTAGAGCAAATCTATTAAATAATATTTTCATCAATGGCTAAACAATAATTTTCACACCCTTCTTCCTCCTTTTTAGTGTCCACACTCTCTTCCTCGTCCTCGGGTGCAGATAGCTCTGGGCTGTGATTCGGACCGTGGTCATGGCTAAAACCAAAACAAGAAAAGAGAAATGAATTTAAAAGGAGGAAAATGAATCATCGGAGATAATAAATCCAAAAAAAATAATTTAATAGAAATAAATATTCAAACGACTAGAGACAACCCCACCATCTTAACACTTGATTTGTTTTTCCTGTTATTGTGAAGATGACCTGCCTCCTTTGCATTTCCCGTATTGCTCGGACATAAAGTAGGTAAATCATTGATAACCAAGCCACCCAGCCACACCACATTCCAGAACAACAAGAAATCACCATGGGACCAAAAAAATACTAATAAGCACAACTTCAGAAGAAAAAAAAAAACAGCAAAAACATTAAAAGATTTACAACCCCTTTTCTTTGGAAATCATCATCAATCTCTACTGGTAATATCATATTATACCATAGTCGGATTGCCCTTGATCTTCTCGTCTTATTGCCGGAGAGGTACCCACTTTTTGACTTCGTAAATTTTGGCACCAATATACTTCAATTCTTCCTCAGATCCGGGCAAGTTCATCGCTTCCTACCAAACCTATAGATGTCCCATCAACCTCTAAGACAAGATCACATCTCGGAAGAGCTGGTTTTGTTGTAGGGAAAATTTAAAGAAAGGAAACGAAAAAAAAGAAACAAAAGAAAGAAAAGAGAGAAGGGAGAAGAATCTAGACAGGCGAGGTGAGGGAAGAAGTGGATGGAGGCGGCTGGATTAATGTAGGGTTTGCTAAAACTAGGATTATATATGAGCAGCCTAACTACCTTGTAGTAATGGTAAGCACTAGTAAGTAGTAGTAATTAGACGTGTAGTTATAGTTTTAGATAGTTAGTACTATTATTTGTACAAATAATTAGTAGTAGTTTTTATGTTTCTTTTTGTTTGGTTAACAATTACTATTTGTACAAATAATAAACTCATTACTCTTTTTTATTATTTTAGTCATAGAAGATATTTTTTTCTATTACATTATAGGTTTTTTTAATCAATTACCCTCCTAATTAATGACATTTTTCATTTTTTTCCAATGACGCCAATAAATTTTTTTTGTTTTATTATGACATGAAAAAGTAATTGAAAACAAGGAGTGATTTCCACATTTGTGCGTACTACTAGTTATTAGATTGTATAAGACAGTTCAGTGTTATATATGTACATATTTCGTTTGTTTATTTGGTCAAATGTAGTTATGATCATGTATGATGATCTTTGTAAATGTATTATACATGCACCTTTTAATAGTATTCATTATAATAAAAGAAGTAACCTTCTTACATGATATTACATTACATTTTATTCTTTTTTCAAATAACTAGACAAGATGTATTATTCGTATTGTCATCTGATTTTACTTGAGGGTTTACTACTTAGTAAGGTAAACCATTATTTTGAGTAGATTTTATTTATTATTATCAGATGAAAATTTTGTTCGTTTAGTAATGATTAAACAATTATAAATCTCAATGCATTTTCAATTCGTGTATATCAATTATTTTAAATTTGTTAAATTGGAGCTCAGTTTGAATCCTTCAAATCATATTATCTAATGGAGTCAAATTATAAATATTAGGGTGCCAAACTAGTATTCTGAAAAAAATAAAGAGGCATACTTTCAATTATTATGATTGTAGTTAGCCCAATCCATGGGCCAAGATCCAAAATGCATAGTCCTAAATGCGTTAAACTTTGTTATTTAATTTGGTCCAAAATATAAAACCTTTATAAAAGCTATCCTTACTTGGGTGATTATAACACACACATCAACATAAGACCTTCAAAAGTCCAACTGCACGTACTTACCTATTCATATTTTTAAATCATTTTTTTGAAACTCTTGACATAATAGTATTCTATTATTTTTCAGAAATAGTAATATACTTGTCTATAATCCTTTGTGTTTGAGAAAACCATTAACGCCATTCTTTCCCTATTTAGCATATTTATTGACAACCATTCCTCTTTAATTATTTTTTTAGTTATTACACAAAAAATTTGGGATTATTGCATACATGTAATTATTAGCACTAGCACCAATTTAACTTTTTTTTTTCTATTTCAGAAATTAATTTGGTACACTAGAGTATCATACACCACTAACTTTAAAAAAAAATTAATTCCATATAAATCCAAATTATGGCACCTACGCCAAACTTTTGCGGCACCAAAAATTAATGACGCATAGTGGAAGCCAAATTATGGCATTTAAGAAAAATGACACGAAAGTGTCACAAATTTGCAACGAAATAAGAATTATGTCATTAATTAACATCACTTTATTTCATTGTCGCAACGATATGCCGCAATTTTGCGGCATAAAAAATAAGCGACGCTCAATAGTGGCATATTTACACAGTGACATTATTGTGCCGCAAAATTGTGGCAAAAAAACATTAATGCCGCAAATTTGCGCCATTACAATGCGACATTGCCTCAAAAGTGTCGCTAAAAGTCATTTTTCTTGTAGTGAAAACAAAGTAAAAAGATAATTTAACTATAGTAGCATTACAGATGCCGATACAAAAGTAGTCCATATAAATTTCACAATGACTGAGCACCAAGGTTTCGATTACTGAGCATCCATCAAAGAGCAATGCCGAGGATTCACTGTCAGAAAACTCAACATGATCAAGCAGCAATGTTTTCAGACTCGGAAACTCGATATAAGAAACATTGTGAATAGAGCAATTAACCAAATACAACTCCACTAAACTAGTGCAGCCATGAATGCGTTAATGACCTTACCAGAATCTTTCATTGAGGCATTAAGACAAACATATTGGACATGAAGCATTACAGCGTCTCGAACCCAAGAAGCAATGGAATCATCTTCGTAAATCTTCTCACATTTGAGTTTGAATTCATAAATGCTAGTTTGTTCCGCAGCAACCTCTTCAAAACCCCACCAACAAAACCTACAAATCTGCGTTCACGCACTTCCTCGGGCTCGATTTCAGCCGCCGCTAGCGCATCATCTTCCAGGATGTTTTGAACAAAGCAGTATTCTTAGAATATTCTGAGCAACAGCAACTTTGGTTTTCTGAAACAGAGGATCAGGTGAGTCGAAGGCCAAAACCGCAGTGATCAACCCATGAAACAAAAAAACCGAAGGGACGGTGGGTGGGTGCTGGATCGCCGGTGCCGCACAGCTGAAGGAGAGAGAGTGAGAAAGGGGCGGCGGATCTAGGGTATGGAAGAAGTTAGAAGGGCACGTCTTTTTCTTTATATTCCCGATTTTTTCATAACCCGCCTCGACCCGATTTTAGACCCCCGCACGGAGGTGAAAGAGTCTGTTTCAAAAATTTAAAAAATACCAATCTATTTTCTAAAAAGTCTGTTTCAAGCTTTCTTTTTTTCAAAACGATATTTAGAAAAGACCTTAATTATTTTCTCCAAACGCATTTTAAACTCTAAACATATTTTTTAGCCTTAAAAGTCTTTTTAAAACTCTTGTCCAAATGTAGCCCAATTTTTTATATTAGACTAAAAAGTCTTTTTAAAACTCTTGTCCAAATGGAGTCCAATTTTTTATATTATTTTAAGGGGCACTCGAATGATGAACACCCACCTTAGGTGGTGAAATTCAAAAAAGAAGAAAGGGAGAAAGGATGTGCCGTCTAAAACCGGATCCCGATTCCCACTTAGTAGATGGTTGAACGCTATTGCATACGTTATGCCCATCAAATTCATATGCGTAAACTGGAAAATGCAATGCCAGCACAAAGGCATAAAGGATTTTCATTTCTCCAATAATTTCTCCGAAATACCTACATAATTTGGATATCTTGGATTGTTCAGGATGTACAAAAACCCCAGTCCGTCTTGCATCAAGTCAGAACCAAAATATTGAAGCATAGTTTTTTATTTTCTGTCTTATGTAGTATGTACAAGAACTACCTCATATGGTCAAAAACTAAGTGATCTGTTTCTAGGCACGCTGTCGTCAGCAGATATTTGCAAATGAATAAGTTAATACAACTTTCTATGCAGCAGCAGCTTCCATGGCTTCACTTTCATCAGCATCTGCTTCTGCCCCAGATATCAACGAAGCCGATTTTATTTTCCCAGTATGATCCAGTCTCATCAGGATCACACCTCTGCAAAATGTTTAAAGAATTAGCTACAATGTAATTTGTCAAATTCAGTCTTTGCTTCCCGGAATCATACATAGAAAGGATACATTCATTGCAATCTACATAGGACATCCATGTGTCACGGATTTCAGAAATGAGCAAGACAAACAACAGAAGGCTAGATCTCACTTCGTCTCAAAATTGAACAAAAAAAAAATTGGCTACCTTCGCATGCCATGCAACTAATAACATAAAACACAAGATGAGTTTAAAAAGAACAAGGGAGGGTAATAAAAAACCACCTTTTATAATATAAAGCTAGCCAAAAGAAAATCTATGGTGCAGAAACAATACACCTCTTTTCTAAGGCATCGTGATGTTAAGTACGGTGCCGGTTGTTCATAATAGATTCTCTCTCCATAAGTAAGCTGCAAAGTTATTCAGGATGTTCCAGGTTGCTCATTGCCTTGATTAAATTGTTAATGATACCAAAAGAAAAGCCAAGTTTTTTTCCCTTTAGCCGGAACCAAAAGTTGCATCATCCCTCTCCCATAGCAGAATCAAATCGTTTTCTTTGAAGTATGTAAGAGGAGAATTAGACGCACACTTTTTCTCCTACTCAATACACCTAAAAGTAAAATATTTTCTCTTTCCCAGAAGAAAGAAGTGTATTCTTTATACTGTCAATATCCCCATAAGGAGCATGAATTCCTCACCTACGATGTACCCATATATCAATTAAACACCACAGGAGTAAAACTTCCGTCTCTACTTCACACAACACATTATCCAAAATTTCCCCAAATATTTTACTCTGCTTCAAGACGACGAAGATGATTCCTCAAATAATGATGATCCTAAACTTCTATCCTTCCCGTTAATTAAAAAATCCTTAAACTGAGTCAAGTCCAGAAAAAAATATCAAAAACAGGTAGCAAAGGCGTAACCACATCATTTATCAACAAGCCAAAGATCTGTAGGCATGCGGCAATCAGATATACCTGGCAAATCGGGACTGAATGGAAATGTCTCGCACTTTGATGCGGTTCACAGTCCCACTCTGGCTTACAAGAACAACTTGTTCATCACTTTCACCGTCATCTGCAATTAACCAGAGTTATTATTGCTGCCAATCAGAATTCAATAAAGAATAAATAAAATCATAAATGGCTTGTTTAAAAGTAAATAAACCATACCTCCCAAGGAGAACCCAACAACAAATACTGCAGCTAACCGGTCTTCAGATGCAAACTGCAAGATGATTGCTATTTCTGATTAACAACAAAATATTGCTTTTCCCTTTAGCGAACTATTCCTAATTTCTTCCAGTTCATTAAACAAAATGTAATGTACCTTATAACCTATTAAACCAGTTCGGTTCAACGGTGACATCCGGAAACTACTGAGAGCAACTCTCTTGCCAAAACCATTTTCAGACACGAAAAGTAGCCATGGCCCAGGCAATCCCTTGCAACTGCTCAGAAAAACATAGCAGTTAGAAAAAATCAATCCCTGGAAAAGAGCCGAGAAGGCTCCTGAGTAGCTATCTAAATTTTAGAAAATGAAACACTTGTTAATAGAAGCTTACAACCTCCGACGAGATTCAGAAAGATCATCCAACTGTTTCCTCAAGCCTGCTGGAATTATATCCATACTTGCTACTTTATCCTCCCCTTTTAGCCTCATGGCAATCGAACCTCTTGTGTTCCTTCCAAGAGCTCTAATCTGAGGATAATGACATATCAGAAAGGTAAATAATGGAGAAAAAGAACGAGAAACAGCCAGTCTACAAAGTATTGACATATCATTCCAAACATAATTACTTTTCCATAAAACCAGAGTAAAGTGTACAATTTGCCTGAAAGGTCCAACAAATTAAGATGCCTCTATGGAATAAAACTTGTGAGATCTAGGAAGACCAAATATATGCAATCTGATTCCCAAACCTATACACACTTTCATCATAGGGACAAATTCATCTCAAACAAACATGGGATCACCTTGTGTTGCAGGAATTCACCAAGTTTAGTCAGCTATCTAAGTAAAATTCCTAAAAAATTAGGGAGCAATGAGAAAAGTAAAAGGTAGAGTAGCCACTCCTTTGACCAATATGGATGCTGGAATTATTATATACAATAATGAAGGGAAGATCAAAGAGATATCATCTTGATGCAGCTCATTACTCTGGTATTTCAGTTTCTCTTGGATCCTAATGGAGTTTCTGAAAATTTATATATAAAGCGAATCCTAAAAGCATTTTCCTTGAAGGTCCATTAACTAAAAAATAAACAGCCTCAGTACATACCACATAAATTTATTTCAAGTAATCTGCAACAACATTTATTAGTTATATAAGTGGGAGTGTGGGACTACCCCCCAGTTTATTTGACAGTGTCATGGTTTCTCCAAATCAGACGGCCCTGCAGTGGGATAAAGGCTTCCGGTTGCATGGTTCTCCAAATCATAGGAAATGTAGAATTGAGCAATGAAAAATTCTACAAACATTAAGTCTCAGTGGGCATAAACTTTCTCAGGTCTATAACCAAAAGCATATTGAAGAATACTCCAACAATAACTAGAAACAACCAGACTGCCTCAACATCAAAATAGTTCTCATAGTTGAACTTAGCCATCATAGAGGCATTTCGATCACACCCAACGGTTGTTCCCTTGCCTTTTTGCCAATTATTAGCGTGACAATTTGATGACAATTGTGAGCAACAAGTGGCAAAGATGACAACGAGAAAAGATCAATCATCAATCCGCTTCATCCGCCCATTCTGTTGCCCACCCCCTGGTCAACCTTATATCCTCCCCAGCTCTCATACTGCCAACCAGCCAAATACCATCCACAAGCTACAAGTATTAGCCAGTGAAGATAATTGAACTAAGCTAAAGGACGAGGAAATAAAGGATCAAAACTGAAAATAGGTACTGACGGACGATGGTCTGCTTTTTCTTCTATGCTCATTGAATATAGATCATTAAATATATTAGCATACCTACAGATAATGAAATAACTTACAACTTAGCAAATTAATTATATGAAAACAGATGTTTTAGGGGATGCCTTTCAAGGAAGCTATCCACTTTGCCTCACCCAAATCGATAAACAAAGAAGCAGACTGCAAACTAATAGTATGTCCACAATTTGTTACCACATTCCCAAACAACCACTAATACATGGATAACCCAAATAACATTCATTTCTTCTCGAAAGTATTGCCTGAGTGCCCTTATCATTACCATAATCACCTATTCACCTTTAGCCTATACAAGATTCATCATTATAAAGTAGAGTAGGAAAATTAACGAACTAATTCAGTATAAAACAGCAATTGAAATCCTCCATTCACCTTCAGCCTACACTGCCTACTTAGATCCCTAGCCACCTATGTTTTTATATATCTTTCCTCATTTGAGAGTTTGTAGATACACTAACCTATAGCTGGCACCAGCATCACCCAAAAAGCAACACATCTACCTTCCATAATGTCTTTTTTCTCAAGTTTGGACTTTGGAGCTTCCGATGTAATTTTTTCAGTGATTTTGTTCACACAATAACTTTGAAACCCTGTACTCCTTTACTTTTTGAATATCCAGATTGTGGAAAATCATTTCTTCAATGCATCACACCATTAGAAGTCCTTGTACAGATCTTTATACTCACCAAACGTCTTACTTCCCCGGTGAAACACATGCCACTTGCAATCAGAGTCAGGCATCTAGACCACTGCTGCTAGTGCTATATGCTGCTGTTTCCTGCCTGACTCGTGACTGATGCCAAGTTTGATTTACTATAGCAACAAAACTACAGAGAAGTTCCTATTCTTTTGCTGCAGTAGCTACTCCAGCTACAGCAAGTCTGCTAGTAATATCAACAAACTGCAAAATGCTTCCGAGCAACTATTGAAAGACATTCTCACTTAAGCTTTGACAACCTTCCGGAGGAACAGACCAAATTGGACTGGATATCCATTTATATAAGTTATGGCTACCAAGAAAACAAGAGATAATCACAAAACACATTTGAAAAGCATGGCAAGACTAACAAGCTTTTGTAATTGAGATATCAAGTTGGTAAGGCGAATCGTAATTATCTTCTATGTTAGACCATTGACCATTCAATAAGATATCTACAAGTTAAACGGGCTGGGTTCAAGACTTCAATAAACGGGAAGCAGTTGGAGGACTTACAGAGTCACAAGAAGTTAAATTCACCATTCCATTTTGTGAAGCCATGGCAACCAGGTCATCATTTGTACAACGCTTCACCCACTTTAATTCATCCCCAGAAACCTGTCAAGTGAAATAATATAATAATCTTCACCTGAACACACCAAAGAAATAATTGCAACTCAATCAAAGGGCAGTGAACAAACCAATTGAATTGCTATGATTCCAGTTGATCTAATTGAGGAGAAATAGTTCATAGATACTTTTTTTATGTATCCTTTCACTGTAAGCATCACAAGATACTGATCTCCAGAAAAATCATTCACTGGAATGATTGAAGTAATTCTCTCCCCATCCGACAGTGACAAAATCTGGATTCAGAATGGAGAAGCAAAAGGTAAATATAGTCCAAGGTAATGAAAAACAAATTTTCCAGAAACTACATTCAAATACCTGAATAAGCGGCACACCAGCAGCGGCTCGAGAGCACTCTGGAATTTTGAATGCCCTAGCTGAATATACTGTTCCCTTGTCACTGAAAATAAAGATAAGAGTTGAAGTAAGTTCACTCTAGGACAATGCTACTGAAGGAGAGAATAACTTGAGTCAGCAAACAAAAAATCACACAACATTGGCCTGATGATCAGTACCAAACTTTATGGCAGAAGAATACCTGAAATATAAAATGTGATCATGGGCACGGCAGACCAGAAAATCAGACATGGTATCATTCACTTTTAGTTTCCCCACAGATTTACCAATTGTTCCACGGTGTTGAAGACTGAAAGTATCTGGCTTCATACGTTTGACATACCCCTTCTCACTTATGGCCTGAAATCAGAATAAGTTTCTTCAATAACCAAACTGAACTGATAAGGAATTGAATGACAGCCTAGTGGTTAGGTTACTGTCTTTCTTGGTGATAGACCAGGGTTCGATTCCCACCAGGGATTGTAAGGGGGGGTTTTACCCACATTCAAGTGGGGTCCACTGGGGTGGATTTTTTTAAAAATTAAAAAAAAAAACAAACTGAAGTGATATAATGAGTTAGTACAAATCAACATTTGAAAGTCAAAACTACCAGCAGCATTTCGTCATTGGGGATGATGTCTATCTCTTCCACCTGCGAGCTCTCAGATTCATCAAGGAAGGAACGCCTTGCGGTGGAAAATCTGTTTTTCACTTCAATGGCTTCTTCTTGAATCAACTATTCCAGAATATTTGTTAAGAAAATAAATAAATTATTTCACAAGGACTAAGAGATATGGAATAAGTATTACAGGAGAAGAGTGGTACAAAAACATCACCCACGGAACACAAGACCAAGAAATCACAGGATCATAGAAATATGTTTTAAGAAAGAAAAGGAAATAAATCTTAGGAAATAAATCTTAGGAAGTACTTCCAAGTGTATTTCATCACATGAAGATGTGATTCACAATATTTATTCATCTTAGCAAATTAGAAGTAAAAACCACAAGAATTATATCCACCAATTAGCACACAGCAGTTGCAGGACTTGTGCGGATGAAACATTCTTCAGTTGTTTGATAACAAACTAAATCTTCCAACAGGCAAAATGGAACATAAATTAAGATCCACATTAAAAAGCACCTGAAGTATTCGCTTTTTGCTTGACAAAAGCTCATCCAGTTTGGAAATCTGGTCGTTCAAAGATTTTCCCTCTTCAACAAACTTATTCCTCTGAGATAAAGACAAAAGAAGCTCTTATCAGTAAAACAGAAACAATTTCTGCAACAATTTCTGCAACATAACTAATGAAATAACAGGAGCTAACCTCAAGAAGGGTAAGTCGTCTAAGGCTAATGTCCAATATGGCTTCCGCCTGTTTCTCCGACAAACTGAATTCTGCCATAATGAAGAAAGCAAACTTACAAGAGACCTTCATAATAGTATGTTCAAATGTTTGTGTCAGTTCCAAAGAACATCACTTCTACTTCCCGGCACATTGTTTTTACGGGTTTGAACAAGCATACTCAACTTGAAAACCAAACTAAAGTGAGTTCACCAGATGCAATAGAACCAAACTTAAAAGGTCAAGAATAGACCCCAGAAAATTGACACCATATACACTTGAAAGCAAACGGTATAAACACCAAACTAGATGAATGAGCAACATAACAAATCTCCGCTTAGGGAAAAGAAAACAAAGAAGATTATTTTAATAACATTTGCAACTTGAATGCTGGGAAGAAAATCATTCAGAGACCATAGGTTGCATCTTTTATCTATGTATCTACCATATCATGGTGTTTAGTTCCAATATCAATCTCCAGAAACAAAATTTAACTTTCCCAGTAACAAATGTGGTAGGGCAAATAAAATAAGATAAATAGTTTTGTCCATTGAAGTAAATATTCAATACAAGGAGCAGCTTCATGCTCGAGAAAAGAAAGCAATAAAACAACACAAAAATAACATGAATAAGGAAGTCCTCAAAGAATCAAGGACCGATAACATTAGATGATTCCACGACACTGATGAAAGTTCCTTCCAGCGATAGCGGCTTAAGTTAAGCTAAACTAACAAACTACATGATCTAAATATGTGCACAGCGTGCCAAGCATGGTATCATATACACAGTGACAAGTCCAAATTAGTACGGCCCGCGACTAAGTCGGCCCAAGTTCGGTAAAAGGTCCAACCGGCCTTTGGAAGCTTCTAGGTCGGTTCTTAATTACTTTTCTACCAAGAGAGGGTTTCATAATCTAGCTCTATAAATAGGGATCAACCCTTCACGGTTAAAGGTACGCTCTATGCACCACAATTCATACCCTGATACCCTATTAACAATTGCTCTTACTGACTTAAGCATCGGAGTGTCTACCCTCGGGAGACCCCGAGGCCCTCTTTTGCAGGTTTTAGGGTTTTGACTCCGCCATGGCTGCCGGTTCAATCAATCGGAGACGTTGGTGCAAATCCATGCTTCGTCAAGTGGCAAATCCATGTCTCACGTAAGATCAATGCATCTACAACTGCTTCTGACCCAAACAAGGTGTTGGAGCCACAGAGTCGAAAAGCAAAAGAAGACAACCAGGAACATTCACACATCATATACTAAGCTACAAGGAGACATCTACCCATACCCTTCAACACAGATTTTCGAATATAATAAAATTTTATTAGGTATAACAAGGAGAAACGAAGCGGAGGTGATGCTGAAAACAAAATGGGGAAGGAAATTTTTGTTTTTACAACACTAGTCAGCTTTAACATTCGAAAATTCCATAGTATTCAACAGTGATAAAGCATCCTCAACTTTGAAATGACAATAATTCCAGCCATGCAAGAACGCATCCTATATGATATTGGTTAAAGATTATCATGTTTATTTAGCCACTAAATATGAAAAAATCGAAAGAACTTTGCAATGTTAATGGACCTCACAACCTTTTGCATTTGTTGACTGCAACACATTTCTAAAGCACAGAACATGCTGAAATTCATATGAAGGAGGATATTATCCTCAATAATTATCATGAAAATGACAATTTGGCACTCAGCCAGCAGATTCACTTTAACCAAGACCTATATTCACAACAGACAACAAACTATACTGCCATAGCATGAAGATAAAAACCTCAAACCAATCAAAGAAAAAATTAATCATAGGTTGGATTAAGAGAACATTCTTCTAGTCGAATATTTGTTATACAAATGCAGTGCTACCGACAACAAAAACATCAAGAAGTACCTTTCATCAAGGCAGCTGCAGCGGCAGCATTACTAGGAGCTTTCCTAATTATGTCAATTGCATCATCCAAGTTATCGAGCCCCCGTATGATACCCTAAGTTCAGAAAGAATCAAAATGACGAAAAAGAATAAGAAATTGGGGATCAGGCACAGCTAAAAAATTGGCATGAAATTTTACACCCAAGCATCAAACAATTAGCAGCCACCCAAGGCTTGGGTGCCAAACGCTTAATTGATGGTCTCGACGTCAATATAACTCGAGAAAAGTATCCATAGTTTGAAAAAAGAAACAAAACCAATCATTTACAAGACAAAACTAAACATACAAGCTGCATTTTTTGACGGAGCCAAAAATGCAAACACAATCCCCACTTTTAAGAAACCGTTCACATACCTCAACAATGTGATTTCTATCTTTTGCCTGCTTCCGCTTGAATTCAGCCCGCCTTTGAACTACAAAGCATCTAAAGTCCAAAAAAGCCTGTGGACAGCAATAAATTAGAGACAGAAAAAAGATAACACAATCATGTGTCTACCACGTGATTATCTTAACTACGAACCTTATTCCAAACACGTTGACGCACTAAAATTATCAATATGTGATGGATCAACTTTGTTTTCAAATGTGAAGAGCATAAAACATCAAATAAGGGCAGATGGAAGGGGCTGTTTGGTGCATTTCTCTTTAAAACTATAAACACCTAAAACTCAATTTAATAGTTTAATGAAAATTTTAAGATTGACATTGAATTGAAGGTGTGGCAGTTACCCCCCATCACCTTATTATTGTCATGAAGAGCTTTAGAAAGGGCATCACTTCTTTTCTTTCAACATCTTCCAAACCAAAAATCACAAATATTTAACTTGCCCGCCAACTCCTCTCAGCAGACAACTGATTTCGACTAAGCGAACACAAACTTCAAACATACATACCAGCCCAAGCCATAACAGATATTTCCCTAGATCTGACTCTCTTCATTGTCCTAATTCATTCTGATTGCAACACTTTACAACCTCATTATCCATGTGACTAGAAGTTCCAACTCAAAATAAAGAATATGTAACTTCACCTGGCAGCTCAAATCATAGGTTAAATGAAGAACAAAGAACTCCTATGCCTAGCACAGCAAGCAATTAGTTATTTAAACAGTTAAACTGCTCTTATTAGAATGCCTAAGCTTCCAGGACACAGTTAGTAGCTGGCAGATGTGCATGTTTCATGTTTCTCATACTTAAATGAACAGCACTGAGAGAAAAATGACTCACCTGAAGCATTTCCTTCAAGCCCATCAGTTTAGGTTTCCCATCAAGAATGCTGCATCAGAGGGAAAAGGCAAGCAATAATAAGCAATCTCTACCGAACAGCTGTCATTGATCGTTCCATTTAAAGAAGAAACTATAACTCATCCAGCAACATAGGTATACATAGTGAATCCTGTTTATTACTTGGATTGGAGATGAGTAGAACACATTAAGAGGGAGCATTTGCAAACTCAGACAAGTATCACCAAGCAAGCATGAGGAAAGATGAACTACTGCCACGGGAAAAGGAGAAATACAGGTATCCTAATAGGCATTAATGTTACTCCCAAATTCATTATTGAAAGGTGCAAAGGAATTCAGGCTCAAATGTCCAGAAAATATCTGTTTTCCTATTTATCTGATGTAGATTCAGCCCCTCGATTTCCTTCACAATCCTTAGGTAACCTAGTCCATAAATGATGATTAGAGTATTTGCACCCTTAAAACACTATAATAACCGTAAATGAACATCTATATGGTAGTGGGCATGCAAGCCTAACTCATCAAAACCTCATTAAAAAGTAAAAGGCACAAATCTTGAGTAAAAGATGAACAGAGTACCCACACATCAACCAAGTTGAATAAAAACAACCAACAAAATAAAGCAAATACAAAACATACTTCCATAAAATAAAGATAATAAATGCGAAATTAAAGGGAGTAAAAATCCAACATAGATGGGCCTAGAACTTATTTATAGCTCATGTTTTAAGCAACAAAACATGGGGCTACAAGTTCCACCAAGATGTACAATATTCAAAATTGAATCGTAGAAATTTCAACCATGATCTAATTATCACAATAACCGTATATGAAAAACTTTTGTACTTAACTAAGATAAAGAGCAAAAAGGAAATGAAATTGGCAGCAACATGAAAACTGAATTAACATTTAACATACAAAATCCCTGTTTGCTTTTCGGAAAAAAAGAGCCTAGAAAGAAAATGCATGTTTAAAAATTTTTAAATGACAGTTACATGACTTCCCTAGGAGTGAACAAAAATCGGCAAAAAGAAAATATGATATTGCAAACTATCTCCAGTCATACAGTAGGCCTGAGCATATGTAGAAAAACTATACTGCACAAAAACAACCCTAACTTCATCTTTCAAAGCAGTAGTGCTATTTATTAGCTCAGAATAAAAAAGAAACTCCAAGACTTCAAGTTCACTAAAACTTGTCAATTAAGCAGTTTGTATGCAATAGGCATGTCAATTTTTAATAGTCATATTTACAATTTGGCCCAAGCTTGTTAATTTTCGTAGTTGTATAGTCACACCATAAGTAGCCTACTGAGTTTATCCCATAAACAGATTTGACTAAGGAACCAGTTTATGTTAATCTGAAGCTTGAAGCTCCATTAATAATACTACCCTTTATATAGAAAATTGGCCATAGATAAAATTGTATGAACCCATGACCATTAATAAGCTTGCCATTCACTCATAGAACCATGCATCTAATTCCAACCATCATTTATAAATTACTTACCCCACCATGTTACAGCTGAAGCTTGACTGCAATGCAGTAAGACGAAAAAGATTGTTCAACACAATTGAGGGTTCTGAACCTTTCTTCAACTGTAAGTCATGAAAGTATATATTAACACCAATGAAATCATTTGATTATAGAATACAAGAAAAATATCTGATCAATACCTCAATTACTATCCGCATGCCTGATCGATCACTTTCATCTCGAATATCACTGATACCTTCCAAAGTCTAAAATAATCCAAAAAATAAATAAACATATAGAAATCAAAAAAGAGAAAAAATAGAAAGAGGATGAAAAGGTAAGTTCCATGGAGGGTATCAGAAAGATTACGAACATACAACCAAGTAGAGCAAGCAATATAGAACAAAGAACCCACAACTATGCCATCTAGAAAGCCATGGATGAGTATTTTTTTAGAACTCAAATTCAGCAATATAAAAAATAAAAAAGGCGAGCTGAATAGTAATATTGTCCTTATTAAGTACATGCAGATATGTTATCGAGATGAAGGTAACTAGCCATCAATCTAGAGCAGTCTCACAGATGCCAATGCAGAAAATAGGTATAGACGTTGAACTCATTGAAAAAGACAAATTTGACCCAAAGAGGGAGGAAAACTATGGAGGTGACAGTAAAGGATCTCGGTCTATTGCTGCAATCCTTCATGCGAATGCTTCCTTAATTTTTGGCTATATCTAATATTATTAAATGAGCAGAAGAATCATATCACCAAACACGTACATTGAATATAACACCGACTTGACAAGATAGACCACAGATTATCTACCTGTATTGTAAACCTACTCGAAGCAATTCCAAACTCAAGCCCAATTCAGTAGGGTATACAAAGTCCCGAATCGGCTGTTACACTGTCAATACGCAATTTCTTACAAAACTACTACTGAGTGTGACAATCTAACATTGTAATTGACAACCTATTTTCGGACATCTCTTCCTACTGGTGACTGATGAAAATGATTTATGAACTCCATACATGATAATAGAATCCTATTATAACTCAATATCCTTACAGGGAAATAAGGAATCATTACAAACAATGACATTTGCTAGCAATGAGGTTGTACTAATTTCAAACAAAACTCAAAGTCATAAGAAACACCAAAAGCTGTACCCGGACTCTCCACACAGGGGGAGAGTACCTGTGTCGACACGAGTCGACACTGATACGGGTGTGCCTACCGGGTATGACATTTTAATGGAAAATTTGAATTCTCTACAATTTTGAAGAATCCAACAATCAGATCCCGCACCCATACCGGACACCTGTACTCGAGTCCGGGTAACTTAGTATTATTATGTAACCAGACTCTCCACACAGGGGCAGAGTACCCGTGTCGACACGAGTCGACACTGGTACGGGTGTGCCTACCGGGTATGACATTTTAATAGAAAATTTGAATTTTTTTCTACAATTTTGAAGAGTCCAACACTCAGATCCCGCACCCGTACCGGACATCTGTACCCGATCCGGTAACTTAGTATATATTCCATACAGGCATACACTATTGCACAATAACACCAGAAGAAAAAGAAGGGCTTGTTGGTAACCATAAAGATAATACTGGAAAAGTATGATAGAGGGCCAATTTGTTAACCTTAATCACACATGCACAATTAAAAAAAGAATGAAATGGAAAAATAACCTTTCAATGTCACAGAAGTAAAACTTCACTTTGAAGGGGCGACCACCAAAATGAAAAGCAATATAATCACAAGCAAAAATCACAGTTGTCCCCAACAACTAATAAAAAATGAGTAAGATACCTTATCTTCTACAAGCTCAGCGATCTTCTCGACCAAAGAGGCTTTGTTGGTCTGATATGGAATCTGATATATTTAAGGCAAACAGGGGAAAAAGAATTTGCATCAGTACTTCAATACTTCAAGCTTGTTAATAACTAATGCAAATTGTCCACCTATTACAAATTAAACAAAATGTGAAAGAAACCTCTTTAATAATAATTGCTGTCCTCTTGGTTTTCGGATCAAGCAGCTCAACATCAGTCTTCCCTCTTACTACCACACGTCCTCTTCCAGTTCGGTAAGCTTCTAAAATACTTGAAAAGCATTGAAAATACTCAGAACCACAATTTTTTTTTATCAGAACCATTAACAAAGCGATAAACAACTCCATGAATATCTTATAAACCAATAAATGAGAGAGGAACAGAGAATAATGTACCCAAGGTTGCCCATTATAATTCCACCGGTAGGAAAGTCTGGTCCTGGCATGTACTCCAGCAATTCTTGGAGCTAGTTGACAAAGTGAAAGGAAACTAATAAAGGTCATACACATGCCTTAAACAAATAAAGGCAACTTCCTACCTATGTTTTAAACCTTAAGGTAACCGGTTTAAATTCAATTATGGTAGAAACTTTGGCTATTCAACGCAATGCTGTTCCATTATGGCATGTTAGAAAACATTAATGATCTCCATGTCCTTCAAAAGAACAAAGCTTTGTATGGGAAAACTTCCATTTGTTAGTTCTCTAAGCACCAACAGTTCATATTAGGTTCAGAATAACATATTCGTGGAAAACCAGAACTAGAGAAACACGGCATGGCATTAAAAGATGACATTAACACTCTTATACATGAGATCTAAGAAAACAAATATCATCTTCCAAGTATCTGACCTTACAAGTTTATAGAACTAATTCGAATATGAAGAAATCATCCTATGCTGAGAAAACGAAATAAGTTAAAGTTTAATGCACTACTTCTAGGATTTATTAAACAGGCTACATTCTGGTGCCTCATATCAGTAACTGCCATATGTAGTAACTAATGGTATAGGAAGCAAAGTATCTAGTAATTAAGGACTTAACTGAATCTTATTCAAGAAACCGGATTCGCAATGGATATAGCTGTTCTTAAAAAGGATTATGGTGTAAAAGTGTCCTATGGTTTCTAATATCCTATATAGGCTTGGATAATAAAAAGCTTAGAAAACTTTTTCTCAATTTATTCAAGAAAAAAATCTGCATTTTGAGTAACAAGTTTCAAGGGAAAAATTTAGCCAGCTCAAACAGTAAATTCAAATAATAATGCCTACAATGCTAGAAAGAAACTAAACTTTCGGTGCTTAGGATCTAGCTTGCATTAATCAAAATTGAGGCTGATCAAGTAAATTATACCAACTGCAACAAACGTACCCAGGTTCCTCAATTCATTCTTGAGTACACAAAGGAAATCTTCAAAACAGCTTAGAGGGCACATTTGTGGCTAAGCCTATGACGACTTACACCAATTAAATTGGAAACTATGCAATCAAAATAAACTGAAGAAACAAATTTAAACAAAACACAAACTCTATACCGTGGCTTCTGGATTATGAATCAATACAGACAGAGCGTCCACCAACTCGCCAAGATTATGGGGAGGGATATTTGTTGCCATTCCCACCTAGGGGAAAAAAGAATAAGAATATTACCATATCTCATAATAAACATACTCAGCTGCTATAAAAACACCTCTAAAACAGAGGATGCAGATGAGAAGCCACACAAAAGATCAAACTGGAAATAAGTATAAGTAAAATAAGAAAAGTCACCGCTATTCCAGAGGCACCATTTAGCAACAAATTAGGAATTCGGGCAGGAAGTATTGCCGGTTCCTTTTGAGAATTATCAAAATTTGGAACAAAATCGACCTGGAAAAGAGGAGATTAGTAACTCAAGGAAAGAAAGAGGTACAAGATCCAGTGAATTGAATATGTCAATGAATAAAGAGACTTACTGTATCCTGATCGAGGTCAGCCAATAACATAGCCTCCGTGAGTGCCTGAAATCCAAACTCACACGAGTTAAATACAGTAATGATTCCCTTTGACTGTATCCCTATCATCAGCACAGTAATCAAATTAAAAACTCAAAGACACCTGATTTGTCAACATCTTCAAATTATAATGGACCACAATACAGGGTCACCAGTAAATCAGATGCCACAAATAAGTAACTAGTTCAAAATGTTTTCCAAGCAACACAGTAAAAGAAGCTTAGAGCAACAAATTAAAGAAAAACATTGAAGAAATCTTTATTAAACTCACTTCCAGCCTGCACTCAGTGTAACGCATCGCAGCAGGAGGATCAGCATCAATAGAGCCAAAATTCCCATGCCCACGAATGAGAGGGTTACGCAAAGAGAAATCCTGCAACCGTGAAAAATTAAAATCATAAATTAAGAGCCAAACCACGGATCATAAGAAGAAGAATTAGCGTGAAACATAATACACAGTATGCATATGGAAGACACGATTCACTACTACTGTTCCATGTAAGAGTAGGTTAAGAACATAAATATAATACGCATGCACTGTGTTGTAAATGAGCCATGCCAAATGAAAAATACGGAAAACACAAGCAACCCAAACTTCGTCCTCATTTTGCATGTGTTAGGCTTGTGTTAGATGATTGTCAAACGACACTTAGAGCTTCAGCAGAAAACATATCACCAAAGTCAAGAAGTAATGTTCTTGATCTAAAAGAAATGATATAGAAACATTTTGATCTAACAAATATCATTTTGTAGGCCAGCTAACATTGGCAGTTAAGAAAGTCCTTAAAGAAAAGAGGGTGGAGAAGGAAATCCAACAGCACCTGGGCCATTCGGACCAAGGAATCATACACCGCATTATCACCGTGGGGGTGAAACTTCCCCAGGACCTGCAATTGACACCAAGCAGAAGCTGAAAACCTTTCACAAAAATTTAAAGCAAGTTATTTAAATACATGATAACACGTAAATTACCTCGCCGACAACCCTTGCACATTTCTTGAAGGGTTTTCTTGATGAAATCCCTAACTCATGCATTGCAAATCTACAACCAATTACCAAATGCAAGAAGTCCGTCAGATTTTTGGTTCTTCTATAATCAAGGCACCATGTAGTAACAAACGAGTTACAACGAGCTAACAAACAAGCAATCACTGAGATCCTTTGAGCGAAATAAAGGCAATTAAACTTATTCTAGCACAAAATGAATGCATAGAGTTCTACCTTTAAAATGGTCAGACCAAAACATGAACAACTTTATTGACATTTAAGCTTAACTAGTGCTGTCAAATGATGTCTAAAAAGCCTACCAAAATTTCTCTGAACGCAATAATAATTGATGCCAGAGATCTGTGTACTTTTAGTACTGAGAGAACATGAAAAATGCATGTTGTAGGTACTTTGTAAATAGTACACTTGATCAAGAACTGCATGATTGTGGGTCTGTATCTTTTGGCTGACAAATGTATTCCACTGTATTATAATATATTTCATCATTATATGGTCAATTCTGTTTTTATGATGTCAATCGTAACGAAGCACTTAACAACATACAGTTGTTTAATTTTATATTACACTAAAGGCTCAGAATTACAGTAGTTTAGCACCTGTAAATCTTATCAAAGTGGCAACTTGAACATTAGGTCTTTCGGTAGATACAGCCTTCAGATATTTTCTGTTCATTAGTGAATTTTCAGCAACCAAACATACAAACAATTTCAAACTTCTATTAGGTATTAAATACTCAAAAGCAACTTTAAACTTGAGCAACCAGTTGAAAACAACATCAAGCAGAAATGCTATCCATTTTGCATAATTTAAATCAGAAAACTCCAAAGATCTTCAACATGGTATCAGATAGGAGAAAATTTGAAAAATGCAGAGAAATTTGAAGGAAAATATATTTCACCAGCCTATGACTTCACATATTTTTTAGTTTTTATTTTTTTGGTTTGAAGAATTCAGCCAATGTGCCCAGCGTAAAAAAAAATTAGACACTACAATGCCCCTCCCTTACAATGCCAACACATTCCTGACGAATTAGGACACATCAGGAGAAAGAAAAGGGTTCAAACTTGTTGCAATTTGTCCAGAAAACATAAAAGCAATCAATTAATATTGCTTTCAGGAAACCCAGAGGTCCAAGAACAGCATTTCTCCAGAAAAATTAGAGGAATCGATTTAATCCCAGACATTAAACTACAATGATGGGAAATATCACAAAGAACAAAATGTACAGCTGGTAGGGCGAAATGTAGAGCTGATAGAACCATAAGCAGAACGAACAAACATTCAAAACCAAGAGAATTCAAACAGAATCAAAAGCCAAACAATAACTCACAAAATCCTGCGGTGTACAGGCTTCAAACCATCCCGAACATCCGGCAAAGCACGCCCAAGTAGTACGGACATGGCGTAAGCCATATAGGCCTCAGTAGCTTCCTTATGAAGCTCCGAAACCACAATTCTTCCTTCGCCTGCACCGGGAGCAGCCACGGCAACGCTTCCGTTACCCCCAGAATCCCCGTCCTCCTCATCCTTTTGCTTCGCCTTTACTTCAACCAGCTTTCCCCTTCCTCGCTCCGAAGAAGTAGACAGAAACCGGAGCTCGGAACCTCCGTCACGAAAACCGACGCGAGCAGCCGGCTTCGGCCGAAGAAGAGAAACCGAGAGACGGTGGTGAGAGTAGGAACGGAGTAACCGGACTCCGCTGGCTGAAAACTTGAATGCCATCGGTAAATTTAAGAAGGTAGGTTTGATTGGGAAAGTGGAAGTGTTGGGGTTCATGCCATTGATTTTTGAATTTCGAAGGTATTTTTGCTGAAACTAGTGTGTGACTGACTGTGTGTGTCTGTTTGAGATTATTGCAAGTGAGAGAGCAGGGGAGAAGGGTGATATGTCTTTTCCTCCTTTATGAAAAAAAAAGGAAAAAGAAAAAAATGGGGATTATTAATAAAACCCTAAAACAATTTTCAATTTTATTTAATAGGGTTCTTGCGCGCCAAGACATTTTACCTTTTACCATTTACAGTGTAAAATTTACCATTTTGTTTTTATCACTGGGATTAGAATCCCGAATCCCGAGATTAATAATAAAGTATAATATAAAACCTATCAAATTCCCTCGCGCCGCCGCACAACACCGCCAGAGTCCAGTGGTGCTTCGGAGAAAACGCAATTTCTTATCTTTATCGCCGACGGCCGTTTGATCATCATCACCTCTTATCTGATGTCATCGACGTCATCAACCATGGAGAATCTAGTCCTGCAACTCCACGACATCTCCGCCGTGAAGTTCGGCAACTTCAAGCTAAAATCCGGCATATCATCGCCGGTGTACATAGACCTCCGTCTCATCGTATCCTACCCTACGCTCCTCAGTCAGATTTCCCAATCTCTCATTTCCACACTCCCTCCCTCCGCTAAGTACGACGTCGTCTGCGGCGTCCCATACACTGCCCTGCCCATCGCCACCTGCGTCTCCGTCGCCAATAATGTCCCCATGCTTATGCGCCGGAAAGAGGTGAAAGATTATGGGACTGCTAAAGCCATTGAAGGTGCATTTCAGCCTAACCAAATCTGCCTTATAATTGAGGACCTTGTCACCTCCGGAGCTTCCGTGCTTGAAACTGCCGCTCCGCTCCGTTCTGCTGGTCTTAAAGTCACCGATGCTGTTGTAATGATTGATAGGTACTGTTCCGTTTCTTGAAAATGATGGCATGATTTTAGTTGGTTCATAGCTGTTTTTTAGTTTCTGTTGTATGGTCTATTGTCAATTTTTGAACTGTTTGTGTTGTGGAGAAAAGGGAACAAGGAGGGAGGGAGAATTTGGCAGAAAACGGTATAACATTGCATGCAATGGTCAAGTTAACTGAGATGGTAAAGATCCTGAAGGAGAAAGGGAGGGTCTCGGAAGAGACAGAGAAGATGGTATTCCAGTTTTTGGAGGAGAATCGTAGGGTGGCTGTGCCAGCTGCTCCAGTTGAAAAGACTAAGCTCAGGGTTCCATACAGTGAGAGGGCGAAATTGGCAAAAAATCCTACTGGCAAGAAGTTGTTTGAGATAATGATTAAGAAAGAGACCAACTTATGTTTGGCTGCTGATGTTGCAACTGCTTCTGAATTGCTCGATATTGCAGATAAGGTGAGGTTTTATTAACCAAAGAAATCGATTGCTTTTACTTATTAATAAAGAATAGTACATTTTTATGGGGAATGAGGACAATATACTAATGCTCATTTGAATTTGCTGTTGAAATTGTTATTACGGCTGTCGTGTGGCTTTTCTGAATATAAATGCTTGGATGATCACTTCGTTCTGTACTTTGTCTCTTGACCATATCCTCCTGGCATTAGATGTTCTAGATTTTTTCCTATTGGCAATGGATGCATAACGTGGACAGAATTACCCTCCTAAGTACAATTTAAGGATAGGATATGTCATATAGGAGGAAATCTTCCAATGTAATTAGGGAAAGGTCAGGGTTGTGCTCGATGAGAGTTTATATCATGGTAGATTTAGGCATGCTGCTTACAGTGAGTGGAAGTTACATGTCGGACTTTCTGAGCGATTTCGGTTTTACAGTTTTTGGTTTCGGTCTACAGTGGTGATCTTGCTTTGAAGGCCCTATTATTTTGGATTGTTGTTTGTTTGTTTAACCTATTTCTCAAGTTTTAAGAAAGTAATATTTGTCTTTGGAGGTCCAAGATATTTGTGTTACCGTGATTCTTGTCAAGTTTAGCAAAATGATTGTTCATTTGAACATCTCCTATCTTTGCATGCTTTTCTGCATTTCTGGTGTTAGGTTATCTCTCGTTCCAAAACTCTATTGCTTTTCCTCCACATTGATTTCCTACTCAAACCCTTTTGAGCAGGACAGCTAAAGCTGTGCTTTTTTACTGGTGCCACTATTATCAACTGAATTCATCATCTAAGCCCTTGATATTCAAATTGTATCAAATTTGAAAGATAACTTGCCAGATGTTTAGCAATTCTCAGCTGTTTCGTCGAGTATCCTTCTAAGGGAACTCATTGAGAACCCTGAGTGCCATTTTTGAAAAGTTGCTCAATATCTGAACTGCCATGTAATTTGCATCAGATGTCATCATGTCTCATTTTTTACTTCCCTGTGGTAGGAATTGGTAGTAGGTCCACGGTTTTTATTGTCCATGAATTAGATTGTGATACTGTCTGGATTTTTTGAGTATCGATGTATGTGTTCATATCAAATAGAATTCTTCTAAGTGGACGATATTTAAAGTGTTCTATAAGTGATTCTGCTGATGTGCTATTGTATACCTTTGTAGGTTGGACCCGAAATCTGTATGCTGAAAACTCATGTGGACATTTTGCCGGATTTCACACCTGATTTTGGCGCTAAACTTCGATTGGTAAATTGCTATCATTGAAAATCCTATCAGCTATTTTGCACATCGAAAGTTTGCGCATCGGGGAAAATATTTGGTTCATGTCTTCTCCGTGTTACATGGATGTACATAAATAATTTTGCATTTAAGATTACTTGTGTGATGTGAAGTACCACCGTATAGAAAGAAATTCCGGAGCACAATTATATCAAATGGCTTCTTGACCTTATTTTGCTAAAGCAGAGGATCAACAGAGTTTATAATAATATAAATGATGTGAGAGTTTCTTCTGATGTAGTATAGTAATAGTGTTGGTTGTTAATAAGTTATGTCAAATGGTTAATGGATCCAAAAGACGTACTCAACATATTTGTTTGTTGTATTTATTCTTTTTCTATTGCACTGGCTTAAAAAAATAGAGCCCATTTCATTTATGTATATTGTACCAATGTTGGTATACATCTGGAATGTACCTCAGGTAAAATTGTTGGCTTTGACATTGCATACCTCTTTAGTCTAAGCACGAGTGTCCACTGTGTTTTCCATTGCACAAAGCAAAGTTCACGGAGATTGTTCCAAAATCTTGATAAAAGCAAACAAACGTAGTTATGGAGCTATTTTAAATTTAATTTCTTCCTGAGACTTTTCATTTAACTTTGTTGGCCAAATCTGTTCTTTTTTGTGGCACATTGGTTTTATCACCCATTTAGTAACAAAAACCTCAGTCGCATAACTATCAAGTCATCAAGTTAAAATGATTTGATGTCATTCAGAAGCTCCATATCCAGTCGATGATGCTGAAGAAACATTGAATCCTTAATTATTATGTTCGCTCTGTTTTGGAAAGTACTTCAAATTTACGACTTCACGTGTTAACATCTCATTGATTTCTTATCGTCCAACTAAAATATCTTTTCTGTGTAGCATTTTTCATGTTACAAGAATTCTATTTCTCTCTCTCAATAAGGAAACATGGAATTTCTTTATGCGTTTTCGTGCTGTCCTCATTTATAATTGTCCAATGCAACTGTCCTGCAATGCTCCATATGTAACTTATTCTCAAATGTATGAAGATTGCAGAGAAGCATAACTTCTTAATATTCGAAGACCGAAAGTTTGCTGACATTGGTAATACAGTGACAATGCAATACGAAGGGTGAGAATATTACGTTAAACTTTTTTCCCTCTGTCATATCTGTTGGTTCTTGTGCTCGTTGATTTTCAAACTTACGAACATTTACTTGTATTTCCTGCAGTGGAATCTTCAAAATATTGGACTGGGCAGATATAGTGAATGCTCACATTATTTCAGGTCCAGGAATTGTTGATGGGTTGAAGTTGAAGGTGGAGTATAAAAATTCGATGTATGTCTGTTATATTTGAATCCGGGTTTTATTTTCTCTGACAGTTAATGTGGATATTGTAGGGTTTACCTCGTGGTAGGGGCTTGTTACTGCTTGCTGAAATGAGTTCAGCTGGTAACTTTGCCAAAGGTGATTACACAACTGCTGCTGTGAAAATTTCTGAGGACCACTCAGATTTTGTGATTGGCTTTATCTCTGTTAATCCGGCATCATGGCCTAGTGGGCCAGGAAATCCTGCAATGATTCATGCTACTCCTGGGGTTCAGTTGTTTAAGGGTGGAGATGCTCTGGGACAGCAGTACAACACCCCGTATTCTGTAAGTTCAATTCTCATACATCACTCTCTATATTTCCATGTAGTTTTCTCCGGTACAGCATTTTTCGTACACTGTATAACTTTGATTTTCGGTTGTTTAGGTCATTTCTGAGAGAGGCAGCGACATCATAATTGTTGGTCGTGGAATTATAAAGGCAACAAACCCTGCAGAAGTGGCGCGAGAATACCGGCTTCAAGGATGGGATGCATATCTTATTAACTGCAAGTAGGATAGCAAAAACTTGACCTGATGCTTAGTTTCCTTGGCATGTGTTTTGACCTGATGCTTCGTTTCCTTGGCTTATGCTGTTTCGACTCAAATTATGTCTCAGTGAGTAGGAATAATGACTTTTTACTTTCAACTTCCTCGTTTTTACCTGAAATGAGTGAAGGACTCACTTGTATGTTATCTTGTCTTCTTAATTTTTGCCTGCATTCGCTTTGAATGAAAGACATGGCCTCCTTAAGACAACTGATTTTGTTAAAGAAACTAAAGCGTTGCAGATTATGTCATCAGCAGTTAAACATCTTCCTGTTTAGAAATCGTTGACTTGTTCTGAACAGTTGAGATAAAAGGTTTACACATAATAAGGTACATATGTGATTTTGTAATTTTGCTAAAATGTTGTAATAATCACAACTAAAATTTATACTGAAATCTCATGAAGCTATAGTGTTATATTGTGAACAATCAACCCGATTCCAGTGATCTCTGGGTTTAAGGATTAGAATGGAAATCAAAGCTTTGAATTTCTCATTCTTTTGGAAATACACTCCTCTGGGAACTTCATTTCCATCATATCTTCATCATAAATTTCAGAGTAAAACTGTTCAATCATCTTATCGCTGACGTCTTCCAGTTTTGATGGATTCCACTGTTGACGGACAGGATAAAAATTGAGTATCATTATTTTGGAATTTGGGAAAGAAAAAAACGGGACAATTGAGAGTCATTATTGTAGAATTTGCTAATAAGAAAGATGTGCTAAATGATAATAACAACTTAATTTGTAAGTGATTAACAACTTTTCTTGGCGCTTCATTTACTAATTTGCCCAAACCGATCATAAAGCGCTACGTGGTTTGTAACATGGCATTCTTTCGTGCTTCCCTTTCCCAAAAATTAGTGGTGGTTGTAATTTGTGAATTGTACTAAATTTTATAATAATTTACAAATCATAATAATAATGATTATTTTTATGGAAAAAAGAGAAGTAATACTACATTATGTTAGCAAGCTAGTATGCAATCAACGGAGGATCAGACCTGGGGTTTCTTATCTTTGTGGAAGAATTTTGCACTGGCACCCTACAAATCACGACTACCAAATCAAAATATATAACATTAACTGAAAACAAAACGGTAATGACAGAAAAGTAATGCTTGATATTTCAAATTACATAAATGCCCTATATATATATATATAAGTGTTCTTTGCTTACCTCAAAAAAGTCATTGTTCACAGTTCCTCTTGCAAAATGCACCGCAAACCAGTGATCACGGACCAAACATTCTTTGAGAGTTTTGGACCTTGCTTCCCTAATCTGAGAAAGCAAAAAAAGTAATTCAATATCGCAAATTCATAATGGATCACTCTTCCATTTTTATTTTTATTTAAAAAAAAAAAAAAAAAACTTAAAAGTATAAAAGGTTAGGTGCTTACAGCCTTTAGAGTAAGCTTCAAACTGGTTGGTGAGGCCAATTTGATAGAATTAACTACATTGGCCAACCATCTGTCTTCTTCAGATTTAGAACCGGCTTCATTTTCCTTTTTTTTTAAAAAAAAAAAAAGAGTATAAACCATAACATTAGTAGTTGGGAATTAGAATGCTAGATATATGAGTTATACAATATGGAATATAGTAATCATCAATTAGCTGAATTTGTAGTTCCGTAACAACTTACAAGGGAGAGTAGTATATCTTCCATTGTTTTTCTTGAGAAGCACTTGTTAATAGTTTCCATTCTGATTTACAAAACAAGTTGGAAGTTGATTAATTAGTAATGACTCTTATAATTAATCAACTTGACTGTCAATCCAAATAAATCGTGTTGTTGTGTTTCACTTTCACACTTCATTATTATTGTTGTCATTATTCTCGTAACTATGATCCCACCCTCTTATTATCATAACCTTCAATTCTCCCATCTAAATATCTCATGATCCAACAAGTGTAGATGCCATTCATATTCTGAAGATATATAATTTATATATCGCTATAAAATATCAATAAATTATTTGTAGGATCGTAATTATGACATGCTTGCAAGTTACTATATTAGATTAGTAGTACATTACAAAGATACACAAAAGTAATTTATCTTAAATTAATGCAAATTAGTTACCTGTTGCAAGGACTGTTTGTTTTCAATTTCGGAACTCGTGCAATTTTGTTGATGACTTCCGCTATAGATTGTGATTCACTTGAGGCCGCTTTGCTTAGCTCAGATTCTAATTGTTCAAGATCCTAAAAATTAAAAATTAAAAATTAAAAAAGAAAAAAAAATCACATATATATACAAAAAGAGCGAACTCATAACATAAGAATTTGCAATAAATTAAAAGTAAAAAAATAAAATAAAAATAAAAATGAGTTGTATGTTCTTACCTCAGATGGAACAAAATGAGATGCAAGTCCAACAAAAAGCATATCCGCGCCATCAAGTTTAGTACCCGTTAGCCCCAAAAACTCACCTAAATCATCATGCTTAACGTAATGAGATAAGATAAATACTAATAGTACTGCCTCTTTCCTATAAAAAAAATAATTATATTATAAAATTTAAAGTATATTTTTACTAATTTTTACAATTTACAATTTGAATTATTTTTATGTGACGGAAAAAAGTAAACAAATAGCCATCTGACAATGCAATATTTAATTAATCTTAGAAGGATTCTCTAAAAGGAAGACAAAAGTATAGGGTTCAATCATAAGAAAACCTCAAGGATTTTGCAGTGATTGTGTTGTTTTATTTCAATTTTCCTCGAAAATGTAAAAAGACGCTGTTAACCGTAAGATTTGTGAGAACTATTTTTTAAAACAACATCTATTTTTAAAAAATAAAATTGAGGGAGTGTTAAATATTTCATTAGCCGACTGTTAAAAATGATAAAAAGAAACAATTTGGAAAGTTCTAAAAATCAGTTTGTATAAAAAATCGAAAACTTGAGATGTAAATGCATTAGGAATAAAATTTCTATCTTTTGAGACATAATTTTTTTTTTTCTTTTACAAGGTAATATCATTACCGAAACGTCCAGGCAACCTAGAGAGGAAATAAGTAACTCCAATGTCCGGAAAAAGTCCGAATAACACTTCAGGCATGGCAAACACCTATACAATTAATGAATCAATTGAAGCAACATTATGATACATACACATGTAGTAGAATTGTAAACTGATAATTTTCGTTTAATAACGTTTAGCTTTTTTCAATAAAAATATAAATATATGAAATTATGAGATCATTGTTAAGCTATCATGCTTTCCTTTTTCTTTTTTCTTTTTTTTTCTTTTCCCCTCTTTGTTAAAAAGATTTTCACTTTGCATTTTGATGTTATATAGTAGTATCATACATATGGACTTCTCTTTTTATTTCTGAGAAAACAAAAGTGATAATGTGGCATTGAGTAATGAGTAATAGCCAGTGTCATTTACACAAAATACAAAAATAATTTCTTACAGTTTTTTCAGTAACGATACGAAATGTGCCATTTAAACAAAGTCCAGCACCTCCTCCCATCACAGCCCCATCGATGAAAGAAACCTTCACAAATTCGTGTCATGAATGGGCGAACCAAGTGTTTAGATCAGTCAAATGACAACAAATTAATATAACGAAAAAAAAAAACACTGAAAAGAAAAAAAAAATGCCCCATAAATTAAAATTTTAAGAAAAACGTAAATAATATTCAAGAAACTTACTATTGGCTGAGTGTAAATGGCCATTAAATAATCCAACGCGAGTTGTTTGCGGTAGAAAGGGCCAAGATAAACCCAGCTTCCTGGCGTTAAATAAGTTTTGATGATTTTTAATTTTACAAAAATGAAATAAAATAAAATAAATTACTTGATCAATAAAATCAACGATTCATACAGCTTAACATATCGGTCTTTTCTTTTATTTTCATTTTCGGTTTTTATGCATCAGTTTGTTAATTTTGCATTATTTTATAATGAAAGTTTATCTTTTAATAAGTCTCAAGTTCCAAACCTGCTAAAATAATTTGAATTAATTTGGAAACATCCCCACCAGCACAAAACGCTTTTCCTTTCCCCTGCAGAAATCAAGATGGATTACGTTATGTATATTATTATCACACAAAGTAATGATGATTAGAAATTAAAAAAAAATTTTGCACCTTGATCAATACAAGTTTCACTTTTGGATCAAACTCATGTTCTTGTAGTGTCTTTTTCAGCTGAGACACCTGTTTAAAAAATAATACCAAAACCACTCAATACAAAAAGACTCATTTCAATCCAAAATTATATTAGTTAAATTCATTGAAATAGTAAAGAACAAAAAAAAGGGATTCTTATACAATTTGAAGATAAAAGTTACTTGTGACAAAATTTAAATGTGAAAAAGCATTTCATGGCAAAACTTTGGACATCATGTATAAAGGTTGGTTCAGAGGAATTTTTTTTTCCCCCTTTTTTAATGTAATGTCTATATAAATATTTAAAAAGAAAATTAGTGGCGAAATTAGATGCAATAATTTCTTCTTCTTCTTTTTAAACCCGCCACTATGAATGAGCTCAGATTATGAATGTAGGAAAATCTTCAATACATATTTTTAGTGGAATTCAATTGTTGGGCTTCTAAGAAATCTACTAAACCCTCAAAAATTATTATCCAATTTGGATTTTTTCTTTATTCAATTTGTACTAAATCTTAAAATCTAAACTAAACAATAATTTTGGGATGGGAGAGTAATTAGTCAAGGAACATTTGTTTAAATATATGTAGTATACCATATGATGAGTGAGGCTGTTCAAATAGCGAGGTCGGTTCAGTGTCATTCTCAACAAGCCTGCCTCTTTCTCAACAAGTACCTTCCAAGTTCCAAAGTCAGTATATAAGGCATTACAAAAGAGAGCCTTGTTATTCATTGGAAACTATTATATATACAGAAAAGGAAAAAAAGAAGTAATGTTTGGGTGATTGAATTTATATGGACTGAACGTGACAATGTAAATGCGAGAATAATTCTTAGCAGAAG